AACAGCATTCTTCTGTTTGCTATTCCCTCAACATTTTGGGACTTCTAGTATCAATGGTTCTCTAACAGTTTAGGGTAGGTTTAGGGTTAGGGTTAGGGTTAAGGCTAGGTTTAGATGTAGTGTTAAGGTTAGAGTTTGTTTGGGGCTAATTCCTTTGATTCTGGGCAGGATTCATCTTTTATCTTGCCTAACTATGCTCACATAGTTTGGTAATTCAAGGCCCATATGTTTCCTTTCAGGAATAGTTGGTAGTTTCAGGTATCACTGCATTTTGACCTATAAGTGTTAATGCAAATCCAACTGGAAATCAAAAAGGGTTTGTGCTGGCTGCTAGAAACTTCAGACACTCATTCAGTTCTCCATGAGCATTGTCTGTTTTTATTCTTGTAGAAGAATCCCAAAGCTGAAGCACACAATAACAAGTGTAATGAAGAGCAGTCTATAAGTAAACAGGGAAATACCCAGTTACTGAAATAGCTCCCTCAATTCTTTGGTCAGATTTCTTTAATAATGTGAAGCAATTCACATCTTTGCTAGCCCACTAGGCTCCCAAGTTTTGGGACTCCCTGGATCAATGATTCTCTAAATAGATTAGCGTTACTTTCAGGGTTTGTGTTAATTTTTGAGCTAGAGTGAGAGCTTGTATTATGGTTACAGTTAGTTTTTGTATAGTTTTTTGATACTAGCCTAACTATGATTGGCAAGTTTGGACCTTGTAGGTGCAAGTGCTCGTTGTCAGAAACAGTTTGTACTTTCAGATTCACTGCATTTTGACCTGTATGGGTGCATGAAAATCGAGCTGGAAATCCAAGGGTGTTTGTGCTTACTGCTTGAAACTTCACACACTTAATAAGGTCTCAGTATAGATTGTCTTCTTTCTTTCTTTTTGAAGTAGCCCTACACTTAAACATGCAAAATCACCTTAATCTGAGAGCACTCTATTAAAAAAAAACAGGAAAATACCCATTTACTGAAATACCTAACCTAATTATTTATTCATAGGTCTTTGATGCTGCACAGGATTCATCTGTTTGCTGGCCTTGCTATGCTTCACACTTTTGGGAGTTCTAGAATCAACATTCCTTTAAACAGTTTAGGGACGGGGTTAGGTTAACATTAAGGTTTGGGCTAGGGTTAAGGCTAGTGTTAGGGTTAGAGTTAGTTTTGGGCTAATTTCTTTGATACTGAGCAGGATTCATGTTTTGCCTAGAATAACTTTGCTCACCAAAATAGGGCCTTCTAGTTGCAAATGCTCACTCTCAGGAACAGTTTGTATTTTCCATTATCACTGCCTTTTGACCTATATGGTTGAATGGAAATCAAGCTGGAAATCCATACTTGTTTGTGCTTCCTGCTTGAAATTTCACACACTCAATCAGGTCTCAGTATGCATTGTCTTATTTCTTTCTTGTTGAAATAACCCTAAGCTGAGGCATGCAAAATCAACTTAATCCAAGAGCACTCTATCTAAAACCAGGAAAATAAACATTTACTGAAATACCTAACCAAATTATTCAGTCAGATGTCTTTGAACTGCACAGGATTCATGTATTCTCTGGCTTCACTATGCTTCACACTTTGGGGAGTCCTTGGATATACAGTTCTCTAAACAGTTTAGGGTTAGGGTTAGGGTTAGGGTTAGGGTTAGGGTTTGGGCTAGGGTTAGAGATAGTGTTAGGTTTAGAGTTAGTTTTTGGCTAATTTCTTTAAAACTTGTAAGGAATCATCTTTTTCCTAGCCTAACTATGGTTGCCACGTTTGGGCCTCCTATTTGCAAATGTTCGCTGTCAGGAACAGTTTGTATTTTCCAGGATCACTGTATTTTGTCCAATAGAGGGAAT